CTGAATGAGCCTCCACTGTTGCCTAGCAATGGGCAGCCTCTGTTGGGTGCCTTGTGAGTGGGATGTGACCGGGTCACCATTTCAAACCTGGTCATTTGACGCCTCCTGCCCCCGGCACTGTGCCTCTGCCCCAGCAGCCAGGCACTGTCATTAAGGGCTGCTGGTGGCTTCTTACAGCCCGGGCCCTCCCTTCTACCTCCTCCTTCCGCCACTTTCAGCTGCAGGCTCTCATTACTCAAAACCCCCGTCCCCCCACCCTGTCCATAGCTACTCTTTGTCTACTGTTGCATTCTGTCCTGGTTCCTGGTACACTCAAAGGACATGCCGTGTCCAACCACTTCCCCTCCCCTCCCCCAGGTACTACCGTTTCAATGAGGAGTTCAGGGCAGTGGACAGCGAGTATCCCAAAAATATCAAAGTCTGGGAAGGAATCCCTGAGTCTCCCAGAGGGTCATTCATGGGCAGTGATGAAGGTGAGTGGGACAAAGAAAGGTGTCCATGAGAGGAGGGTGGGAATAGAGAGATAAGGAAAACAGAACATCGTAGGGAAAACAAGGTGGATGGTAAGTCCCTTACCATGTGCCAGGGACTGGGCCGGTGCATTCATGGTCATATCCCATGAGCCCTGCCCCTCTCCCAACCTGGTACTATCATTGCCTCCATTTTATAGCTGAGGAAACTGATGCTCCGAAAGGTGCAGGTGAGCTCAGCTGATGTCACACTAACAACTTCCTTCTGTTCTTCTCCTTTGGGACCTTTCCACCTGCCCTGTCTCTTGTCCTCCTTCCTGTTGACCCCTGCAGTCTTCACTTACTTCTACAAAGGGAACAAATACTGGAAATTCAACAACCAGAAGCTGAAGGTAGAGCCAGGCTATCCCAAGTCGGCCCTACGGGACTGGATGGGCTGCCCATCAGGGGGCCGACCTGACGAGGGGACTGAGGAAGAGACAGAGGTGATCATCATCGAGGTGGACGAGGAGGGCAGCGGGGCTGTGAGCGCAGCTGCCGTAGTGCTGCCTGTGCTGCTGCTGCTCCTGGTGCTGGCAGTGGGCCTCGCCGTCTTCTTCTTCAGACGCCATGGGACTCCCAAGCGACTGCTTTACTGCCAGCGCTCCCTGCTGGACAAGGTCTGACCCCCACCGCCGGCCCACCCACTCCTACCACAAGAACTTCGCCTCTGATGGCCAGTGGCAGCAGGTGGTGGTGGGTGGGCTGCTCCCACCCGTCCTGAGCCCCCTTCCTCCAGCCTCCCTTCTGTCTGTCCCCTGACTGGCCTCTCCCACCCTCACCCCTGGCATTGCTTCTTCCCCAGATGGGGCCCCTGAGGCCTGAGCAGGAGGGTGGTCCCTTCTAGCCTCTGATCCTCAGGGGAACCCTATAGCTTGGTGTGTGTTCGGCCCCTTTTGAATGTCATGGGGGCTCTGCACTTGAAGGCATGACCCTCAGTCCTCACTGGCAAAGGTCAGATGAGGTCATCTGCTCCTTTTCCATCCCCTGACATACCTTAAACCTCTGAACTCTGACCTCAGGAGGCTCTGGGCACTCCAGCCCCACAAGCCCCAGGTGTACCCATTTGGCAGCCTCCCACCACTCTTTGGCTAAAAAGGAATCTAATCGTGTTATGGGGCAGAGGCCCTGAGAAAGTGTGAGAGGGTGGGGATTGCTCTGCCACCTAAGACCTCAGGAAGAGAACTCAGAGAGGGTCTTAGTGGCTTGGTCAGTTGAGTTCCTCCCCACAAAGATCTGCCTCTGCCCCACTTACCCCGGAGAATTTCCAAAGAAATAGCCTGAGCCATTAAGGACTAAACTGGGGCTGAAGAAACCCTTGGCAGCCCTAACCCCTCTTGAATGTTAGCCTTGAATGGGAATTTCAAGGTTGGAAGAGCTGAAACCAGGAGGTAAAGCCCAAGTTGGAATGGGGCCAAGGGGAGACACCCAGGGCTTCAGACCTGCAGATCCTGAAGGCCACAGAAGAACCTTGTTCAAATACAGGCAGCTGGGGCTGGGACCCAAGGGCCAGAGTCAGAGGGGACAGGAAATGAAGAGTGGCAGCAGTAGATGGTTGAGGGCTGGGTGGCCACAGGGGCATCACAAGTTGGGTGGTGGTACCCAGGGGAAGGCACATTTTATTGGAGCTCTCAGGAAAGTCCTGAGGAAGGCACACTGGCTCCTCTTTGTCCCCTTCCTCTGGGCAAGAAGCCCAGAGAAAGGAACAAAAAGGGCACTGGGGACTTGGAGGACTTATGGAGAGAGGCCACCTGTTTGTGGGACCAGAAGAGGTTCCCTGAGGCCTGGCAACACTCAGGCTGCCTTTCACCCCAGTGAAGAGCAGGTGCCTGGGTGCTGCTCAGTGTGGTTAGCCCCCCACCTCCCTGACGCCCGCACTCCTCAGCCCATCTTATCAGTGTCCTGTCCTCCTTCTTACACCCAGCCCACCCATTTTAAGTCTCCTTCAGCCACTGAAGGTAGTCATGGTACTGGGGACTTGGGAGAGCAACACCCTGTGGAGGGAGCTAGAGGAGAGGGATGTCAGGGAGGTGAGGGATGGGGGTAGGGGAAATGGGGTGGACGGTGCTGGCAGTTCGGCTAAATTTCTGTCTTGTTTGTTTGTTTTTTTGTTTAATGTATATTTTTATTATAATTATTATATATGAACTTCATTCAAATTGTTCCTTTTTGTTAACAAGGGGCAGGGGGGTAGGGTGGGGGTGGGGGGCAGAGGCATCTGACCCCAGGAACCTGCAGGGCGGGGCTGGGTCAGTGCCCTCTAAGGACATTTTTGACCTTGTTCAACCTTTTCACAAAGAATAAACTGTGTTTCACATTCTCTGTGTGACTGCAGTTCTGTATAGGGGTGACAGGGATGTGGATGGCGGGCTGGAAAGGAGAGCAGGTGTCTTGAGCAGCGCTTTCCCTGAAATAGAGTTTTGGTAATTTTTCATAAAAGAATGTTTATTCTTAGCAAACTAATGGGATTCAAGGGCCAGAGTTGGGGAGCAAGGCACACCCCACTGGGGAAGGGTTGCTCTCCCCCAACCTGCCTTAAAAGACTAGTTTTGAGACTGAAGGCTGCCAAAGATAAGAGGAAGTGATCAAGCTGAGGCCACTTGGAAAATCTTCCTAAATTGCATTACCATGTCGTGTGATCTGGCCACAGACCTCAGTTTCCTCATGCCTCTGCCTGCAGCAGGGGTATTCCCATGATCATATTCAGCCCCAGGCTCAGTGAAGGCCCTTGGGAGCCAAAGTTTTTCTGAGCCTGGGCCTCTGCTGCTGGAACAGAAGGAAAGGAAAGAGAAAGAGGTTGCCCCAAGGCCTATTGGGAGCAGCCTGCCTCTGGAAAAACTGACCTCCCCTCAATTGCCCAGGAGAGCCAGGATGGTCAGGTTGGAAGGGCAGAATAACAAGGCTTTGTTTCCTCTTTCCTTAGAAACTGCTACCCTAGACTGGGTTCCCAGGCTGTCTACCCGCCCTTCCTCCGAATCCAGCCTGAAGGGAGGAATCAGCCCAGTTGCTGAGTCAGCTCAGCTGGAAGAGAGCAGCCCCCTTCCCTCACCCGCCTTCCCTTCCTGCCTCAGCCCAGCCCACCGGGCTCCAGCCCAGGCCCCCTCCACACCCTGCCTCGAAGAACCTTGGCCCCACCTACTCTAGTCCTTCATCCAGCTGCTATTCAAGGCTTCTTGGTGTGATTGCTTTGGCAGAAGGGGTACCCCACCTTCCTGTCAGGAACCCTGACCCTGTGCCTGGCCTCCTGCTCCTCCCCTGCCAACAGCTGTTTGGCAGTCCTCTATGTCTCAGTGGTGCTGGACATCTCCTCCCCACCATCCTCACTGGAGGGGATGGGGACCACAGGAACGCAGCATGGGCAAGTCAGGGGCATCTAGGGGTGGTGGGGTTCGTGCATGTGGCAAGGAACTCAAAAGATGAGCTCATGGCCCTTTTTGTTTTTGTGGTCCACATCTGGAGGTAATTACAGATGTTATCCAGTGGGAGTTCTGCAAAACAGCTGGAGCCAGTGAAGGAGCTGGGGGAAGGGAGACTGCCAGAGGGAAGAAGAGGGGGAGCCTAGGGCTCCCGTGGCTGGAGTGTGGTTTCCCCATCACGAGGAAATTGTTTGGCCGTGATTCTGGAATCACAAGATGCTCTCTGAAGCCAAGGGGGAAAAAGGGAATGGAGGACCACAGACAAAGAGGAAGGCTTCACGAGCAGATAGCGAGTGGAGGCTCCAGGGTCCCGTGCCTCTGACGTGCTTGGGCCTGCCTGACCCACCCCTGTGAGGCTGCCCAGTGACCCAGGGAGGTGTCTGAGTGATCACGAGGCCCCAGTTGAGTGAACCACTGGGTTAGGCAGGAATGAGGGGAGACAGAAGGCCCTGTGGCTCCCAAGGACCAGCAAACTCTGCTTTCGCTGGCTGATCTATCCATTGGGCCTGACCCAGTTTCTGTGGTTCCAAGTTCCTTTATTCGAAAGCAGCACATGTGAGTTGGAGCAGCCAGGAGGGAGCCAAGGGGAATCTATAAAGAGTTTGGGAAGAACCCAGGGAAACAGGTCTAAAGGAGATGCTGGACTGGGGATGAGGGTCAAGGAGGGTAGTACTCTTCCTACCGCTGTGCCCCACACATTTGAAGGGGGCCATGAACTCCCTTGCCATCACCTCCCCTTCTCCAAGGCTCCTGCTCACCAGCTGGGCCCATGCCTCCAAGGCTGCCAGCCAGTCGCTGGGTCAGCGGGGCTGGGAAGGAAAGATCTATGAGGGCCACGCCCTCTGGAGAAGAGAGGACTGGGCAAAGGGATGTCCCCACCCGCTTACAATCTGGTTAGCCTGCTGGTCCTCTGTTGTTCTCCCCCAGGACCCCCCTCTTCAGTCTGACAGGCCTGCCAGTCCTCTCTATCCCCCCTGCATACGCTTTCCATTTCCAACAAAGGGAAAGCTAGCATTCACTGAGATCCTCACAACATGCAGTGATGCAGAAAGAAACTGAGGCTCAGAAAGAGTAATCACTTGCTAAGGTCACAGTTTACTCATCCAAATTTTAAAACCTTATCTGACTTTTCTTCTTCTTTCTCCTGTGCAAGCAAATTCTGACAATGTCTCTTTGGTGTCTCTTCCAGTGTAGACCCTAGGTAGATAGGTGTCTTCATGGCAGTGTGTTCTGGGGAATCTGTCAGCATGTGCAGTTCTGCTTATTATGTTCTGTAGCAGCTTCCATATAGCAGGTAGGCATGCAGGGTAGAAGGGTTCCTCCCCAGGAACTCCATCACCTCCCTTCTCAGGGACAGGAGCAGGCACTCTGAAGGAAAGAAGGGTGCACCAAGACTCTGAGGAAGACCATGATAGCAGCTAGGGGAAAGGTGGGGTGGTAGATGACTATGCTCAAGGGCCTGGGGGAAACAAGGCCATCAGGGGCTGGGTTCATTCACTAAAGCGAAGGCTGCCCTATCATCCTGCAGCCCCTGTAACCCCTTTCCTACCATCCACTAATCCAAGTTCCCCTCCTCTAGAAAACAAATTCTGCAACATTAGCCCATTCCTGGGGGTTACTGCCTTTCTCCCTCAGACAGGCTTGGGAGACTGGGGAGACCTAGAGGCAGCCTGTGAGGGGCCTAGGCAGCCAGGGCCTGGAAGGCTGACTGGCCAGAAGCCACCTTCCAAATGAGCTCACACACATACTTTCCACTCTGGCCCAGCGCCGATGGCTCAGCTCCTTCCAGGCCAGCCTTCCCCAGCCAGGCCCAGCCCCCTGTGTCCTCCCCTGCCATCAGTCCTGGCCCCAAGGGTTCCACAGTGGGATCACTGGACACCCCAGATCAGGGCTGTCATCATACCCCCAGGAAGCATCTTCCTCTGCCTCCATGCTGAAGCCAGCTCCCCTCAAAATCCCTCATTCCTCAGCCACGTAGCCCTCATGGTTTAGAGGAAAAAGAGACCAGTCCTCTGCCCCCAAAGACCACCCCTGTGTAGAGAAGGATAGTAGAGCAGACAGAAGAGGAGGTGACACTGCAGTGAATGGGCGGAAGGGCTTCCTTTGAGTGCCTAAAGTAGCTCCTTGACTCAGGGGCCAGCCTGGCCTGGGAGCTACCTCACTCTGGGTCACATCCTGCTTGCTCACTTGATTTCCAACTTAGGCGCACTTCCCTGACTTGGGGCAGCATGGGATTTGGGTCGGGCAAGGCCAGGATGCCCACAAAGGGAGGGGAAGTCAGCCTCTTAGAAGGCCTAGCGAATTCACATCTGCCACAGGCTCTAGTCACTTTGATTTGTTCTGTGGTCAGTCACCCTTCTTTAGCCAGATCCCAGAGATATGTACCACTGGGCTAGAGAACAAGATCAATTCTCAGAATGTTCTCTCTCTCTGTTCAGTGCCTGACTTTGGGCTAGGAGCGTGGCTGCCCTGACAATATTTCCTGAATCCAATAATGTATCTGAGGGTCTTTGGTTGAGTATATTCAGACATGGCAGACAATTCTATCTTCTTTAGATCACAAAATGATGGCCACTAGGATCAGATCATACAGCTGTTGCTTTCCTTTACCAGACACTGATAGTGTAGTTCTGTCAAGGAACTCCTACTGTTCATAATACTGACCCCATCACAGCCACCGATAAACATGTTCTGCCCTCACTTTTCTTACAAAAGAGTAAGATAGTGCTAGGCACACTGAAGGCACTGGATAAAGGTTTGTTAAATTGAATTGTCAGCAGTAGTTGTGATTATGTAAGTATTGTATACATACCTACATAAGTATTGTGTATATACAAGTACTGAATATGTAAGCTGAAAAATCAGAGATATATATTTATACTTCATGGACTTTGTAAAATGTATATCTCACCTTGATCTTTAAAAATTTTTTTTTATTTAGTTGTAGATGAACACACAGTATCTTTATTTTTATGTGGTGCTGAGAATTGAACCCAGTGCCACAAACATGCAAGGCAAGCACTTTACCACTGAGCTACAGCCTCAGCCCCTAAAATGTTGTTTTTTGGAGTTTTTAAAAAATATTTTTAGTTGTAGATGGACATGATACCTTTATTTTGTTTATTTAGTTTTTATTTTATGTGGTGCTAGGGATTGAACCCCGTGCCTCATGCATGCACTCTACCACTGAGCCACAACCCCAGCCCCCTAAAATGTTTGTAAAAGGAAGAAAAGATTGGGCATGATGCACACACCGGTAATCACAGCTACCCCAGAGGCTGAGACAGAAAGATCAACAAAAGTTCTAGGACAGCCAGGTGTTGCAGGGCATACCTATAATACCAGCAACTTGGGAGGCTGGGGCAAGAGGATCTGAGGATCAGGAGTTCAAGGTCGGTTTCAGCAATTTAGTGAGACCTTAAGCAACTCAGTGAAATCCTGTCCCAAAATAAAATATAAAAAAGGACTGGGGATGTGGCTCAGTGATTAAGCACCCCTGGTTTCAATACCAGTACAAAAAAAAAAAAAAAAGTTCAAGAGCAGCCTGGAAAACTTAAAGTAGAATAAAAAATCAAATAAAAAAGGGCTGGGGATGTAGTTCAGTGCAAGAGCACTTACCTAGTACGTGTGAGGCCCTGGGTTCAATCCCTGGCACTGCAAAAAAGGAAGGAAGGAAGAATATACTGATGTAAAGAGGTTCATACCTCCTACTTTGTCCCTACAGGGCCTACCACTTATACCTACAGCCTGTTCTTAACCTGGGAGTGATCAATTTCCAGCTGTGATGACCCAACTCTTCCGTAAATATCAAGCCTTCAGGTTGCACCCCAGCCCAGCCTGTACCCTTACCTGGAGTGTCCAGCAGGGAGGGGTCTCTTACCTACACTCTTCTAACGTCCCATGGCCAGATGTTTCTAAACTGGTTCCTCTACTTTACTGGCCTGGGATCCAGGGATGCCCCCAAACTATTCCTGCACAAGACTAACCCTGCACAAGATAGGAGTGTGTGTGTGTGTGTGTGTTCAGAGATCAAACCCACGGCCTTGCTACACAAGCCCTCTACAACTGTCCTACATCCCTACCCTTGCATAAGTTCCAAGTGGAGGAAAGCCCGGGAAGGGATCTGGAGGAACACTCATCCCATTCCATTGTGCCTGGGGCCACCCTGCTCTCCAGCAGAGGCCGTCTAGGCAGGGTTTGCAGTATGGTAGCGCCCCCTTGTGTTGAGTGTTGGAGCTGCAAGCCTGACCTGAAGAATTGAGAAAAGCATGGCAACCCCCGCGCGCCCCCCCCCCCCCCCCCCCGCCGCCCGCCCCAACACCACCACCATCCCAGGACTACCGAAACCACCAACCTATCCCTTCCCCCTTTCCACTTCCTATGATTCCACCCTGGACACCTGTACTTAAAGGAGTGGGACTCCGGGGGAGAGAGGCCGACCAGACGTTCTTAGCCTTGCCAGTTACAGAGAGGAAAAAGTCAGAGTTTCCGTCTGGTGTCCCAGTGCGGGAGTAGGCGGGCAGCCCTGACCGACTCTGGAAAGAGAGTGGAGCGGGTACCTAAGGAACAGAGGGCCAACCGGAGAGAGGATGGGAAGCCCTTCTGCGACCTCTTCTCAGAGCGCTTCCGAGTTGCCACACTGCCCTCCTGTGGATGCCTCCGACACGGCTCACCCCAGGATGCCTGTCTCCTGGATCCCAGGGTCAGAATTCAGGTGAGACCTGACTCCAGGACCAGAGTGCTATCCTAGAACTCCCAAGGGGGGTTAAGGGGTGGGGTAAGAAAGTCTCGTGTTCCATTTACCTAAAAATGGGACTTCTTTTGTTTTTCACCTACCTGAGTCATTTGGAAGTCAAACCCATGCCTCGTGAGAGGTTTACAACCTGCAGCATCCTCTTATCTTCTTCCCAGCCTAGGGCCAGGAGAATCCCTGGTGTCCCAATCTCACATTTATTAAAGGTCCTTACATTTCTAATTTTGTAGTTTAAAAAAATTCCTGTAGATATCTTATAAACAGCATTATATTATTGCATTGTTTGTGCTAATTTTTTTCATAAGTATTTTAAATATACCGAGCATTTAAAAACCATTTTAATATTTCTTAATTTTATAATATATCACAGGCTGAAAAAATGGATATGATTGAGGTCACTCCCAAACCAGGGAGGTGTGCCCCCAGCCCACATAAAAAGTTAAACCGACCCGGGGAAGTGGCACTCCTGTAATCCCAGAGGCTCAGGAGGCTGAGGCAGGACAATCACAAGTTCAATGCCAGCCTCAGCAATTCAGTGAGGCCCTAAGCAACTCAGGAAGATCCCATCTCTAAATAAATAAAATATTAAAAAGGACTGGGGATGTGGCTCAGTTATTAAGTGCCCCTGAGTTCAATTCCTGGCACTAGAAAGAAGGAGAAGGAGAAGGAGGAGAAGGAGAAGAAGGAGGAGGGGAGGGAGAGGGGGAGGGGAGGAGGAGGGGAGGAGGAGGAGAAGGAGTTGTTAAACTGTTTTTCATTCTTTTCCAGACCATAAACTAGCTCTTGTAACCATATGGTAGTGTCTTCAACTCTACCTCTCCTTTCAGACAAAGAGGTTTCCTCATCATGAAAAACTCTCTCTTGGATACTGCATAATTTCCCCCCATTTTTTCCTGTTCTCTCAAGCCAAAGTTTTTTTTTTGTTTTTTTTTTTTTTTTTTAATCAATTTATTTATTTATTTTTAAGTTTTGGGCGGACACAACATCTTTGTACGTGGTGCTGAGGATCGAACCAGGGCCGCACGCATGCCAGGCAAGCGCGCTATCACTTGAGCCACATCCCCAGCCCCAATCAAGCCAAAGTTTTTTAGAGCTGTCTACATTCTTTCACTTGTCATTTGTTTTTAACCCAACCTCTACATCTGCAACCCATGCATTTTATAAGTGGAGCATCTTGTAATCCCAGAAAGATCACAAGTTCAAGGCCAGCATGGGCAATATAGACCCAGTCTCAATTTCACCTTTTTTATTTTTTATTTATTTTAACATTTATTTTTTAGGTGTAGATGGACACAACACAACACAATGCCTTTATTTTTATGTGTTGCTGAGGATTGAACCCGGGTCCCACCCATACTAGGCGAGCGCTCTACCGCTGAGCCACAATCCCAGCCCAATTTCACCTTTTTTAAATTAAAATATTTATTATATATCTTTATTTACCTGTCAGATTAGCAGATTGACAAAGACTTAAAAAGTAGCAAGGATAATTAGAAGCAGACATTCCCACACCTGTTTTTTTCTTAAACTTTATAATTTTTTTATCTGTTCAAATTAGTTATACCTGACAGTATAATGCATTTATGCATTTTGATATATCATACATAAATGGGATATAATTTCTCATTCTTCTGATTGTATATGTTGTAGAATTACATCAGTCATGCAGCCATATATAAACATAAAGTAATAAAAACTGTTTCATTCTAATATGTTTCCTGTCCCCGTATCGCCTCTCCTCCTTCACTTCCCTCTACCTAATATAAAGTAACTCTATTCTTCCCTAGTGCCCCCCCTACCTCTGTTGTGAATTAGCACCTGCATATCAGAGAAAAAATTTGGCCTTTGGTTTTTGGGGGTTGGCTTATTTCACTTAGCATGATATTCTCCAACTTCATCTATTTACCAGCAAATGCCATAATTATATTCTTCTTTAAAGACGAGTAATATTCCATTTTTTCAAAATTTAATTTTGAAATTTGAAAAAAAAAATTAAATTATTTTTTAGTTGTAGTTGTACATAATACCTTTATTTTACTTATTTATTTTTATGTGGTGCTGAGGGTCGAACCCAGGGCCTTGCACATGTGAGGCGAGCACTCTATCACTGAGCCACAACCTCAGCCCTGAAATTTGAAAAAAAAAAATTTTTTTAAAGAGAGAGGGGGGGAGAGAGAGAGAGAGAGAGAATTTTAATTAATTAATTAATTTTTTTTTTTTTAGTTTTTGGCAGACACAACATCCTTGCTTGTATGTGGTGCTGAGGATCGAACCTGGGCCACACGCATGCCAGGCGAGCACGCTACCGCTTGAGCCATATCCCCAGCCCCCTGAAATTTGAAAATTTTTGAAAAAAATTTTTAAAGGACTGGGTTTTAGCTCAGGAGTAGAGCACCCTTGGATTCAATCTCTAGCAACAGAAGTTTAAAAAAAAGCCACCAGGCATTTACTGAAACTGCTTCCTATGAGGCCTTCATGACCCCTTTCTTCCCTCAGCCTGTACTTTCTTTGGCCTCATTTTAGCATCTAACACAATTTAAAGCTCCCATTCCCCTTGTCTCTCATGAACCAAGTCACCTTTTCAAGGAAAACTGAATGGCCAGATAAGTGTCATTTTATTACCAACCCACGACCTCACCCCTACACCTCAAGCGGAGAGTCAACTGAACTTCTTCCTCCTCTTTCTCTTTTTCTTCATATTCATTGAACTCAGGGCCTTGTGCATGAACACCCTACCACTGGTAGCCCTGACCTTATTCATATGCTCTGTTAATTCCAGTTTCTATCCTTCAAATTAAATACAATATACAAATTCTTATTTCATATTACATACAGCCCATCAAATATCTGAATCTATAGTTTTCATGAATTCTGTTGCTCATTAAACTTTTCTTTATTGAAAGCCTTTCTAGGGGGCTTGTGCTATAGCTCAGCAATAGAGTGCTTGCCTCACACATGTGAGGCACTGGGTTCGTTCCTCGGCACCACATAAAAATAAAGACATTGTGTCCATCTACAACTAAAAAATAAATTTAAAAAAGAAAAGAAAAGCCTTTCTAGTCCCATAAATAGCTTCTTACATGACATGGCTTAGAGACCCCTCAACATCCTATTACCTTCCTCTGAACTGAGGTATTTCATTTTATTAATCTTTTTAAAGAGTGGCTTTTTCCAGTGCATGGAGAAGCAGTATCATATTTTTGATTAGTGGTGAGTATTCTGGAATTACACAATCTGGATCTCAATCCAATCTTTATTACTTCCTACTCAGTGACTTCCTATAAATTATCCTCCCTGAGCTTCGGTTTCCTCATCTTTAAAGCACAAATAATAATATGAAGGACAGTTGAGTGGATTAAAAGACGTCCCTGATGAATCATTGTTTCATCTATTCATTCAACAAGCATTTCTTGCTGGTCATGGTGGCACACATCTGTGATCCCAATTCCTCGGGAGGCTGATGGCTTTAAACTTGCTATCCTTGGCAACATAGTGAGACCCTGTCTCAAAATTAAACATTTTAAAAGTAGCTTGGAAGGTAACCTAGTGGTAGAGCATCTGCCTAACATGTGCTAGGCCCTGGTTTGATCCCCAGCACCTCCCCGCACCACACACACACATATGAAAGGATTTATTGAGTACCCACCAGTGCCAGACTTTGTTTTTGGTACTGCAGACATAACCGTAAACAAAAAGATCTTTGCCCTCATGAAACTTACATTCTCGTGAGAGAAGCAGGCAGTAAATGTGACAAAGAAGTAAAATATAGAATACTAGAGAGTGGTAAGTGCTAAGAAGAAGAGTCAGTTGAAGAAGAGAAAGAATTGGAGACATAATCTCAGGTAGTGTTGCCAGGGAAGGACCCACTAACAGAGGTTACCAGGGAACAAGCCAGGTGGTTCTTGGTAAGAAGAATATTAAAAATAATAGCATATACCATAGACCCTGAGGTGAGAGCATGCCTGCCAGATTAAAACCTCAGAATATGGTAGTGTGGCTGGAACAGAATGCTCGAGGAAGAGAATAGCAAGAGAGGAGATCAGACACACGTAACAAGACAAGATCCTATAGTGCCTTGTAAGCTATTGCAGAAAATGGCTCTTACTCTGACTGAAATAGGAAGCGTTTGGAGTGGAACAGAGGAAGGATAGAACCTTTTAGCAGAGTGTAAATACTCATTATTATTAAGACAATCGTTCAATGTAATTTGATCAGTGGAATAATCATCCCTAACTGTTATATAATGCTTACTTTGTGCCAAGTCACTAATTCTTTGATACTCCTTTCTTCAAAAGAAAAAACTAATTCATCTCCTGGAATGTGGTCTGGCCTTTGGTGATCTGTTTCTTATAGAATCTGGGAGAAGTGACACTATGTGACTTCCAAGAGTAAACAATCAATCACGCACAGTGGTGCATGACTGTAATCCAAGAGATGTGGGAGACTGAGGCAGGAGGATAGCAAGTGTTAAGGCCAGCCTTGGCAACTTAGGAAGACCCTGTCTCAAAATCAAAAATATACGCCTGTAATCCCAGTGGGTCAGGAGGCTGAGGCTGGAGGATCACGTGTTCAAAGCCAGACTCAGCAAGAGCAAGGCACTAAGCAACTCAGTGAGACCCTGCCTCTATATAAAATACAAAATTGGGCTGGGGATGTGGCTCAGTGGTTCAATGCCCCTGAGTTCAATCCCTGGTACAGAAAAAAAAAAAAAAATAGGGCTGGGAATACGGCTCAGTGGTGAGTGCCCCTAAATTCAATCCCCAGTACCAAAAAAAATAAATAAAATAAAAAAGGTGAAGATGTAGCTCAGGATTAGAGCATCCCTGGGTTCCATCGCCAGTATTTCAAAAATAAATTTTAAAACTGCTTATATTGTGAGGAAATT